TCCCTGCACCCCCTCCCCCCCCGGGAACCCCCCCCCCAGCCACAGCTGATCCCCCACACACCCTGGGTCCCCTCTCCTCTGTCCTATGCATGACCCTGGCATAGCACAACACATCCCCATCCCATCCTAGTGCTGCCACTGAAGCTCCTCCCTGTCCCTGCTGCCTTGCCCAAACATCTCCAGGGCCACAGCTCTCTGCCAGGGGCTGCTGCCCTGGCACCTGCACTACTTCCCCAGACAGAATAACAACAGGGCTTGTTATTCCATAATGAGGCACAGACACGTCACTGTCAGGTCATCATTTCTTATGAAACAGGATTGCCATTCCAGGGCAGTGTCTCAAGCCTTTGCGCAGTGTTTCCCACAGGGGTCAGGGTCACTGCACCCTGGTTGTGGGTGGGGAAACTGAGGCAGGGGTGGGGGACTGTAGAGCAACACTCCAGGGAGAAGCTGCTGGTGAGCAGCATGCCCAGGACAGTGTGCATGTAACCCCAGAGGGTGGCACAGGGACCATCAGCTCCTCTGGCCCAGGCTGCTCCCCCTGTCCAGCCCCTAGTGGTTCTTATGTGCTCCCCTGAAATGTTCCGGCAGGTCCCAGAGCTGCCCAGGTGACACTGCTGGCTGTGTTTGTCCTACCTAATGCACAGCCATGCACTGAGAACCTTCCTGTGCCAGCCTTCCACCTGCCTGGACCTTCTGGGGCACTGCAGGCCCTCCTGCTCACGGTGGGGAGCCACGAAAGTGTCAGAGCCCCAAGGGCACATTTCTGGGGAACAGGGCAAGAGCAGCACCCACAGACCAGGAACTGGGTCAGGAGGGCAAAGGTGATGATGGTGATGATTGTCCCCACTGTGCTGAGGACAAATGCACTGAGAAGCCCAGCACCAGTGTGCAGCTCCAGCATGGGGGTGCCCAGCAGCCCTGAGACCCCTCAGGTGGGACCAGTCCCAGAGAGGACAGAGCCAGGAGGTATGGGGGGCTGAGCAGTGCCTAACCTGTTCGGCACAGGTGAAAATGAGGGTGTGAACCCTCAGGAGTGGGATATAGGGACAAGGAAATTTCACTTTGCCAAGGCACAGGGCTCTAGCGATGAGAGCAGGATGGGACCCCAAACCTGTCCCCTTATACAGCCCAGATCTTTGGATTAGGTCCCTGCCCCACACCCCAACACTATCCCTGGATCCTGGGGCAGGAGGGATGCCTGCGACACTGGGAGCACGTCCCAGCATCAGTGACACCACTATACGATCCAAGCTGGTCCCATCCCTGCTACGAGTCCCTCTTGACCAGCAGCAGCCAGGGGAGCACAGCTGCCAGCATGGCCACAGTGAGGATGAGGAGGACGGCGAGGGCCATGGGGGACTGGCAGCATTTCACCCCCAGGGCTGGGCTGGATGACACTGAGCTCCCTGTTTCTGCTCTGCTCCCCCTCCCCAGGGAGCCACAGTCCGTGTCCACCAGGGGCATGCCGTGGTCGCTGATGACGAAGATGTGTGCCCCCGGCAGCCCCCGCGGGTCCGTGGGGCTGCAGCACCGCTCGAGGCTCTGCACCGGCAGCACGAAGTGACTGGGCACCACCAGGGTGTTGCTGGCCTCCATTTTGGCCAGGTGGGACAAGGAGGAAGGTGACAGAGGCATCTCTGGTGTCCGGGGGTTGGTGCCAGCCTTGGGCGGCCACTGAGTCTTCTTGCTGAGGAAGGTGACGTAGCGGCAGATGGGGCAGATGATGCTGCTCTGTATGTGCCCGTCGAGCTTGGCCGAGAGCAGGCACTTCACCAGGCAGTCATGGCAGAAGGTGTGCCCACAGCTGAGCTGGCGGTGCATGGCCTCCAGCGGCTGCAGCCTCTCATAGCACACCGGGCACTCGGCTGGCACTCCCTCCTTGCTGGATGAGCTCTCAGACATCCCTGCTGTGGTGGCCACGGGCACTCCTCAGCTGTGAGGGAAAGGTTGGGTTCATCAGACTCTTGGGTGGCAATGCTTAGCATGATCCATCTCTTCATCTCTCCTCTCCTCTCTGCTCTCCTGCCATGGCCATTTCACTTGTGCTGTTCAGCCTGGAGAAGAGAAGGCTGAGGACAGACCTCATTACTATATACAACTTCCTCACAGAAGGAAGTGAAGGTGCAACACTGATCTCTGCTCTCTGTGACCAGTGACAGGACCTGAGGGAATGGCCTGAAGTTGTGCCAGGGGAGGATGAAAAGGCTCTTGCCCCAGAGGTGTTTGGACACTGAACAGCTCCCCAGGGCAGTATCACAGCCCCAAGGCTGACAGAGCTCAGGGAGTGTTTGGCCAATGCTCTCAGGCACAGGGTGCAGTGCTGGGGTGCCCTGTGCAGGGACAGGAATTGGACTGTTGAGCTTTGTGGTTCCCTTCCAGCTCTGAATATTCTGTGATTCTGTGCTTGCCCCCTTGTCCCTAACAGACGAAGTGGGGGACTCCCAGGCCCAGCCTCCACAAGGCAGGGAATTCCCAGGAGCATTAAGCCTCTCAGTGTAGCCCTGGGGGCAAGGAAGAGCTGATGGGAGGATCTCAGCTTCAGAGCCCCCAGGGGCAATAATCCCTGGCTGCAAAATGACACGGGAAGAGGCCTGAGCCCCTGGCTGGGGCTGTGTGTACCTGCTCAGTGCCTGGTACAGACACAGCAGGTACAGCTTGGCACGAGTGCCTCTGTGCTCTGCTGCCAGCTGCAGTGTGGGTCTCTGTGAAACCTGCCAAGGAAAGGGATGTGGTCCCATTCCAGGGGACGCAGAGGAGCAGGGGAAGGCCAGTTCTATAGAGCAGGAGGGAGCACAGTACCCCACAGGGCTGGAGAAGGAGTGTGCCATACCCAGGGCAGGCAGTGAGCACCCATGCCAGGCTCCTTCTAGGCTGCTGTAGGCTGTCCCAGGCTGGTGGCCAGGCCACTGG